TGCTTGGAGGCAGCACCAGGTTTCTTCAGGGAGTGTTCTGTGTCCCGGTGGTTGCTGTCCCACCCTGGCTGCCTGAGGAATGAACGCTGATCCCAGATCACTCTCTCTGGACTCGGAGCCTTTCCTCTGTTCAACATGTGACTTTGCAGTTCTGCTTTTAGAAGGTGATTGTGCCCTGTAAGATGAGCAGTTTCTAGATCTAGATGGAGGTCCTGTACATGCTGGGCCTCCAGGAGAGCCCTCTGCTCCGGGGAGCATCGTGGGACCCCTGAGAATGCTCCCTGACTTCCCCGCCATGGTCCAGCCAGTCCAGAGGAGCCTCAGAAATGGAGAGAGAGTGGAACAAAACTCGTGCATCTGCTCTGTGTTGGAACATGTCATGCTAAAATGAGGACATTGTGAACAGAAACCTGCTGTAATTGCGCCTCTCCCGCCTCACAGCAACCCCGTGTGTCAGAGTAGAACTGGGCTTCACAGCGTTCCCACAACTAATTCTCCTGCTGGGGCTCACCAGGCCTTTCTTCTGAGGTGTCTCCGTGTGACCTGGAACCGTCCCCCTTCTGTTTAGCAGTGCAGCAGGTTAACTGATTCTGATACCTAAACTAAAAAAAAAACACCCCTACCCTCAAACTCACTGCCATCGAGTTCATTTCAACTCCTGAGCGACCCGATGGCTCAGTGGTCACACACTTGGCTGCTAACTACAAGGTCTGAAATCCACCAGCCGCACTGCGGGGGAAAGCTGAGGCTCCCAGAGAGAGTTACGGTCTTGGAAATCAACAGGGGCAGTTGGGCTCTGTCCTAGAGGGTCATCACTATGATTCTGTCACCAAAGTGCATATATTTCCGGGGAGTAAAAGTCTCTTAAGATCAAGGCAAGGCGTCCTGGTGGCACAGTGGTGACGCGTGGGGCTGCTCACTGCAAGGTCAGCAGGATGGAAATGCCAGCTCCTCTTTGGGAGAAAGACGAGACTTTCTACTCCCTAATGGGTCCGTCTCTGAACCCTGTCCTCTAGGGCAGCTGTGAGGAGGCGTGCACTTGATGGCAGTGAGGTTTGGGGGTTTGGTTTGGTTTGGGTTTTAAAGTCTGGGCAGTGGATTAGAAGGGAAGTTGGCTAGACTCAAGGCTCCCTGGAGGAATACAGGCACTGTGGTGCAAACACACACACACACACACACACACACACACTGCTGCCACTGCTCTTACCTCCCAGAGAAAACCAGCTGCATTATAGGGATTGTGCTCAACCCTGGGAATGCTTTATCTCTTGCAACTCCTTTCTTTCACAGAGGAAGAAAAGGGAGAGGGAGAGAGAGAAAGCTGTTAAATGGTTCCTTGCCCGAGTTAGGATTCCGGGAAGCCTGGTGTCTCTCACACCCTTCCCCTGACAACCCAGTGTTCCTCTTCTGTGTCCTAGGCCATGGCTGTGCAAGTTGGCCAAGAAAGCAGTATTATCTGCTTTCCAGAAATCTCCATACAGCATAATCCCTAGGGAAAACAATGAGTGATTGTGGATTGTGAGTCCAATCCAGGAGCAGACAACAGATACGTAGCATGAGGTTAAAGGTAAAGACAAAGACAACGTCCACTTTTCAAATCATCATCTACAGGGACAATGAATTACAAGTCTTAGAACATCTGGTGTTACATGTACCTTTAAAAACAACACCAACTCGTTGCCATTGAGTGGACTTCAACGTCTGGCAATCCAAGGGTTTTCTCTGCTGTCCTCTTTACACAAAGAGATCGCCAGGCTTTTCTTCAGTGGAACCACAAGGCGAGTTTAAACCACCAACCTTTCAGTTAGGAGTTGAAAGAAAATGGTGGGCACCCCCTCTTATCCCCCCTCACTGCCATCAAGTCAATGCTGGCTCAAAGGGACCCTATAAGACAGAGTAGAACTACCTTCTTGGAGCATCTGAGACCTTACACATTCACAGGAGCAGACAGCCTGAGCTTTCTCCCCTGGAGTGGCTAGTACGTTGACTCTGGTTGCCAGCTCAGTGCACATGCCACAATGCCACAGGGTTCCTTTTTGTGCCACCTCTGAATCCAAGCCAAAATCCCTGCCATTAAGTCAGTTCCGACTCCTAGCAACCTTTTAGGACAGGACAGAACCGGTCCTGTGGGTTTCTAGGGCTATAGCTCTTTGGGGGAGGACAGAGCCTTATCTTTCTCCCATGGAGCTGCTGATGATTTTGAACTACTGACCTTGTTGTTAGCAGCCCAATCCACCATGCCACCAGAGCTCCCTGAAGAATGGTTGAATCCACTTTTTCCAAACGATCCAACTGCAGGAAAATAGAACTTGACTTGAGTCGACCTCGAGAAAGCCCATGTGCTCGCTGTGAACCCGCTAAACTGACCGTGCACGAACAATCATCAGTTTCCCTTCTTCGTGCTGACCTGGGCCCTGGGCGATGGTTTGGAAAGCCAGCATCCCTGCAATCACTGTTCTGGGGTCAAGACCAAAGTAGGGATTTTGTTTTCTCACAACAGATGTATTTCTCACAAGCAGTGGCCTTTGAAACCAGGCTAGAGATGACTCCTGGTTAAAAACAGCTAATGTGTTGTATTTAAATATTTCTACAACTGGTGAGCTGAGAAATTTGACAGTGTAATGAGGAAGACAAGCTGGAACTCAGAGAATCTGGGATCCATTAACAGCCCCTACTACTCAGGTACTCCATAGAGTGTAAAGGATGCAGGAGCCAGGTGACACAACAGCTCAGTGCTTGGCTTCTCTGTGGTAGGTTAGTGGTTCGAAACCACGCAGCCGCTCCACAGTAGAAAGAGCTGCTGCTCTGCCTCTGTAAGGCGTACAGACTAGGAAACCCTGTGGGTCAGTTCTACTCTGTCGCGTGGAGTCACCATCAGTCAGGCTGGCCGCAGCAGCACCCAGGGGCAACGACAGAAGGCTGCGTTGAGAAGCAGTCAGTGCGAGACCCAGAAAGATGGCTGTCAATGACGGTGGGGACCACAATAAGCAGCTGTGTGCTGATTTTAATGCAAATGACTCATCTTTTCTCATTCCTTCTCTCTTACAGTTGCACTAGCCCCTTCTCATTTCTTTCAAAGTGAGGTCTTGGGTTTCCGGGACGCCACTCACCTATCAAGCTAGAGACCTTACATTGCTACTGAGGTGGTGGTGGTGGTGGTGTGAGGTAACCATCAAGTTGGCTCCCACCTGCAGCGACCTTATGTACAAAAGAACAAACACTGCCTGGTCCTGCACCACCCACATGATGGTTCTCCGGTTGGAGCCCAATGTTGCAGCCATGGTGTCAACCCATCTCGTCCAGGGCCTTCATCTTTTTTTGCTATCCCTCTACCTTACCAAGCATGATGTCCTTCTCCAGGGACTGGTCTCTCCTGACAACACCTCCAAAGTATGTGAGATGGGGGTCTTGCCATCCTTGCTTCTAAGAAAATTCGGTCTCTACTTCTTCCAAGACAGATGTGTTCTTTTGGCTGTCCACATTATGTTCAAGATTCTTCACCAACTCTGTAGTTCAAATGCATTGATGTTTCTTCTTTTTCCTTCCTTATTCCATGTCCAACTTTCACAGGCACACAAGGCAATTGGAAATACCATGGCTGGGATCAGGTGCACCTTAGTCCTCAAAGGAACCTCCTTGCTTTGCAACACTTTGGAGAGATCTTGTGCAGGAGCTTTCCCCATGCGATGTGCCCTTAGATCTCTTGACTGATGCTTCCCGAAGCATTGATTGTGGACCCAAGCAAGATGGAATTCTTAAACATTTCCATCTATTCTCCTTTTATCATGATTTTATTTATTGGCCGAGTTGTGAGGATTTGGGTTGGTTTTCTGGGGTACCCCTATCCATCAGGGGCCTCAAAATCTTCAAACTGTTTCAATCAGCCCCCACCCTCACTACTCCAGCAAATCCATCCTCGCCAATGGCCACGATTCAGCTCAACGCAATTGCAACTGTTCAACAGCCTGTGCAAGTGGAAAGAGCTAGCACAGAGAGACCCAGCTACCATCAGCAACTAGTTCTGGGAAGCCTTTGTTTCCACAGGCCAGAGAATCCCCTCCCCTTCTCCGGAATACCAAAGCAGGTGGGGAGCACCTGTAGGGGAACCCCCACTCCCACACAAAGAAACCAGTCAGCCCAACCTGGAGGTAGCATCTCTACCCTCTCAGGCAGCACCAGCAGATAAACCTAGCATCATTTAAAGTAACCCTTAAAGTGCTACTGGAACCAGATCCCATGAGAGTATGGCAAACCTGAACAGGGTGACTGCCTCGAATATATGTAAATAGGAAACAAAGACTAAAATGCAGACTTAGACAGTAACACACATTAAATGTAAATAGCCTAAATACTCTTATGGGCAGAATTGATATTTTAAAAAATTACCAAATTGCATGCTGCTTACTAGATACTTGGCTCAAAAATGTGGAATACAACTCAAAATAATAAAAAGAGACCAGGCTTACTGGTCAATATAATAGATGGAGCCCTGGGACGATGGCCCCTAGGAACCATTCAGGTCTGGAGCTGAATTCACCCTTGTGGTAGAATAACCCACCACTTAAGATGAAAAGGGTGGCATCTACCCAGCGACAAAGTTCAGAGGATTAGGAAAAAAGGAAAAGAGTGGAGATACATTGAGGAGATTGTAACGAGGTGGTGAAATAAAAGACGTACGGATTGTCCAATGTAAAAACTGATGATATTCTCTGTAACCCTTCACCTAATTCACAATAATACGTTTGAGAGAGAGGGAGAGACTGAGAGAGACAGAGAGAATCATCTCAAATTCATGGATTGCCTGAAAGTAAAAGATTAGCAAAATATATGTATTATGCAAACATTAATCTAAAAAAGCAAAACTCTGCATACTCCAATTAGCAGAATATTCTAATGGGCTATATTAATATCTGAAAAAGTACAGCTTCAGAGTGAATAAAATTACTAGAACCAAGACAGATAGCACAAAATGACCAAAAAAATCCAAGGGCTCAGGTGGAAAAAAAATGTTTTGAAAATGATGATGGCCGTAGCTGCTGTAGTCAAAAAAGAGCCCACAGTGAGTTTTCCCTTGACGGTCACCGTTCAGTTTGCTATAACTGATCAGGAAAAGACATTTCAGGAAAAGACATTCCCTTATCGTGTCAGCCATTACAGTCGGAGTGAGTCCTTTGTTAAAACTGGCAGCACTCTGAACCAGCCACAATGCTGACCATGGCTTGCGTGTACAGCACGCACAGTGAGGGCTGGGAAAGTCACTGGCCTGAAGCTTAATCAGGACTGACGATGAAGCACATAGCAAGGGCCACCTTGTGTTGAAAGCGGAAACGTATCGTGCCTGGCCTCCAACCTTAGCTACTGAGGAGCGGTCAGGTCATCCGGGACAAAAACAAAATGAAAAAAAAGAAAGAAAATGATGATGGCAACAAATGTACAAGTGTGCTTGACATAATGGATGGATGTGTGAATTATGATCATAAGAGTTGTATGAGCCCCAATAAAGCGATTTATTAAAAGAAAAAAACTCTGAACAATGTTAAAAAAAAGTTTATTCTGATTGTTTAATGGGTGCTTAAAATGTTTATTCTGATTATGCTGGGTAGAGTGTTTAATAGACGCCTATTGGATTCTGTTGGTTGATTGTGTTGTTCAGCTCCTCTATATCCTTACTGATTTTTCTAATAGTTGTATTTGTTGTTAAGATGGGAGTGTTAAAAGATTTAAAAGTAATTGTGGGGGTTGTATTCCTCCTTTCATCTCTATCAGTCTTTGCTTCATGTATTTTGAGGCTCATTTGTTTGGTGCATACAATTTAGTAGTGGCATAGCTTCTGATGGATTTTTTTGGTCATTTTGTGTTATCTGTCTTGGTTCTCGCAATTTTATTCACTCAGAAGCTTACTTTATCAGATATTATTATAGCCCATTAGAATATTATGCTAATTGGAGTATTCAGAGTTATGCTTTTTTATATTAATGTTTGCATAATACATATATTACAATATGCTGATGTAGAAATCAAACAAGACTTAATGCAAAAACATGGATTGGAAAATTCAATTTAAAAGAGATTTCTCCCAAAATTGTTTAATAGATCTTCAGCAATTTAGTGCTATCAAAATAGTGAACAGTAATTTATAGACATAAGCAGACTTATATAAAAATTATATATGAGGCCAGATAACCACTGCAATGGGGCTATTCCAACTCCTGGCAATCCGATATAGGATTTCCTAGGCTTTCTAACACCTGTGGGAGGTGTTAGCGTCATCATTCTCCCATGGAGTGGTTGCTGGGTTTGAACTACTGACTCTGGGTTAGCTGCCCAACACTTACTGAACAGCAGGCAGAGGGCTCCTCTTGTTGCTAGGGGCCATTGAGTTGGGAGTGGTACAGCAGTACCTACATGCACTGCCCAGTTCTCACAGCTGCTCCTATGTCTGAGTTTATTGTTGCAGCCATTACATCAATACATCTCACATCAGGTCCTTTTCTTTTTCACTGCCCCCCCCCCTTTACAACATGCTGTCCTTCTCCAGGTACTAGACTCTCCTGAGAACACATAGAACGTATATGAGACAAAGTCTCACTGTCCATATTTCTAGGGAGCATTCTGACTGTACTTCTTTCAAAGCAGAGTCATTTATTCTTTCGGCAGTTCACGGTACTGTCAGTCAGTATTCTTCATGAGCACCACAATTCAAATCGATTGATCTTTCTTCAGTCTTCCTTATTCAATGTCCAACTTTTATATGTATATGAGGCAAATGAAAATACCATGGCTTGGGTCAGGTACTCCCTAGACCTCAAAGTAACAGCTTTTCTTTTCAACACTTTAAAGAGGTCTTGTACAGCAGATTGACCCAATGCAATGAGTCATTTGATCTTTTGACTAATGCTTCCATGAGCATTACTTGTGGGTCCAAGCAAGATGAAATCCTTCGATCTTTTCTCCATTTATCATGATGGTATTTATTGGTCTAGCTGTGAGAATTTGGTTTTCTTTGCATTGAGTTGTAGTTCTTGATCTTCATCAGCAATGGCTCCAAGTCATCCTCACCTTCAGCCAGCAAGGTTGTCTACATATCAATCAATGTATGGCGTCTACATATCAATTGCATATCAATCTATAAAACAATCTTGATAAAGAGTAAGGTGAGGAGAATCGTTCTGTCCTTTACTAACCATGAACCAAACCTGTAGTCACCAATAGGAATCTGACTCCTGGCGACCCCTTGAGTCACAGAGTGGAAGTGTGCTCCGTGGAGTTTTCTTGGCAGTAATCATTATGGAAGCTAAGTACCAGGCCCTTATTCTGAAGTGTGAGTTTGAACCACCAACCTTTCAGTTAGTAGATAAGCACAAAGTACCTATTACTAGGGCTTACCATTTATCCACTGTGATCAAAGAAATGCAGTATTGGAAGAGGAATGGGTACATCGATCAATAGAACAACCATGAATTCAGAAATAGATCCACATAAATACACCCCACTGATTTTTTACACAGGAACAAAAGCACTTCAAAGGAGGAAGGGTAGTCTTTTCAATAAATGGTGCAAGAGTAATTGGTTATTCATGCGCCTAAATCTCACACTACACTGAAAAATGAATGGAAAATAGATCATGGGCTTAAATGGAAAACTTAAAAAAAAAGTTTTTAGTTTAGTTTGGTTTTTTGTTGTTGTTGTTTAAGAAGAAAGTTTCTGGAAACTACTGCTTAGAAACCACCAATTCTTAGAATTGGTAACAAAAGCATGAGTCATAAAAGGAAAAATTAATAAATGCACCTTATCAAAACTATTCGTGCTTTCTCTGTGACTGCTCATGTTAAGCCTATGAAAAGCTAAGCTACAGACTAGGAGAAAGTAATGTGCTAACTCTAACAAAGGACCACTCTCCACAATACGTAGAGCTTTAAAACCTTAAAAAAAAATCTGTCAGGGCAAACGCAGACTGAAGACAATGCAAAGATGGTCGATCAGCACATAAGTTATCAACATCATTAGTTTCTAGTTAAATGCTAATTAAAACTACAGTTAAACATCACTATATATTTATTAGAATGGATGAAATAAAAAATAATGATAGCATCAAATTCTGACACAACCACAGAGCAACTTATGTGCTGTTGATGGGAATGTAAAATGGTATGGCCTCATTTTGGCATTTTCTTAATAAATTAAACATGCAATTCCCATTTGACTCACTATCTGCACCCACAGAAATGGCATTTATGTCTACACAAACACTTGTACGTGAATAACGGCAATAGTCAAATATGGGAATTATCCCAGCTGTCCTTCAGGAGGTGAATGGTCCAACAAACTGTAACAATTATACAAAGGAGCTTAAACAAGGTTGAGGGTAAAATGTAATTTAAAAGTAAAACTTTTAAATATAAACGTTGTTTCTCAACATAAGATCCAGAAAATTCAAGGCAAGGACACCAGCCATGATCCCAGTGGGTATTTAACTATGTCAATTTGGTCTTTTTAACAATATTAATGAAATAAAAATAGGTGCCCTTAGAACATTTTTTTTTAACATTAAGACATTTTTTAAAAATCAGGAGAAGATCCATGAAGATATGGGTGCTATAGTAAAGTGTGGTAAAGAAACTAGATGGTGCCTGGCTATAAAGAGGAATAACATCTGGGGTCTTAAAGGTTTGTCTTCAAACAAGCAGCCATCTAAGTGAGATATTAATTAAATTCACATGGAACAAGCACACCAACCTATGTGAACCAAAGATTGTAAATAATAAAAATCCAAATCCAAATGAGAGAATGGTATCAGAGTTTAAATTGTAAATACTTGGCTTGCAGAAGGCTATGGATAAGAGTGGAAGCCCAAAACCTTTTTGGAGAATCTACCTATGCATTAAGCCTCCAGGGAAAACCCTCGGACCGTAGTTGAGAGATGTGAAAGGCCTTGTAATCAGACGGAGGGCATTTTAAAATTGATTATCACAGAAGTCGCTAGGTTACCATGTAATAGCTTTTCATTTGATCTCCCTTTTGATCCATTTAAAAGTGGTTTCGGTTGTTGTTGTTTTTAAGTGAAGGAGAAATATATGTGGATTAACCCTCCAGTGAATTTTTTGAACCACAGGCCAAGGATAAGAATAGCGTTGCTATCAAACAAAATGCACTGAAAAGTGGATTATTGCAGATATAGTAAGCTTAAAATTTCACACCTTATCATTTGCTCTCCCTTTTGATCCATTTTAAGTTTGTTCTAGTTTTTAATATTTTCTGCTTTCTTTTCTATTGAAGTTTTTAACTACTTTACTTGGTTATTATTGTTAGGGGCTTTTGTTTGTTTTATTTTCATGTTTTCTGTATATGAAATCCAGGATAGGAAAATCTATTGAGACAGTAAGTGGATTAATGATTCCTTGAGGGTATGGCATGGGGAGGGGTGGGGGCGGGGAGCTGATAACCATGAGTACAAGAATGAAGACAACATTCTAAAACTCACTATGGTGATGATTGGACAACTCTTCTTGACGTGACCAAACAATTGAATTGTATGATGCATGCATTACATGCCAATAAAACTGTTTCAAAACAAAGAAATTAGAAGGAGAAAAAAGTAAGGAAAACCAAGTCAAGATTGTAAGGTGGATGTCTAGCGACTTCCCATCAAAACTCTTGCAAAAGTGCCCTTGTTTGATGAGAGGAACGAGCAGGAGGATTGTTACCATGGAGAAGGTCAAGCTTTCCCAGGCATTTGTCTGATACAGTTTTGGGCGAACTTTCTCAAACGATTTGTATAGTAAACGGATGTTCTCGTTTTGGCCCCTCCAGAAACTCGGCAAGCCAGATGCCTTAAGCATCACAAACAAACCACCGTTGCCATCACGTTTCTTCTTTCACTTTGCTTTGACCGAACCCCTTCCAGCTCTTGGGAGCCATTGCATTGAGGGGACTTTGTCTTCCGGATAGTACTGGTACCGCCAGGTCTCATCCACTGTTAGTTACAGTTCTACAAAGAAATGCTTCGGGATCTTTATCCCACCTCTGTAAGGTGTTCATGGGCCGCTCTGCTCTTGTCCACTGCTGAGCCAAGTGCAACAGGTTGGGCACTATCCAGCAGAATGTTGGCTCAATTTTAATTTTTCAGTCAGAATT